TATGAGATGTTTACTACCTCGCTTGGTCTGCAGGAGGTCATGGGCTCGATCCCGACCCTGACGATGCCTGCTGCTGCTGTATATTCGGAGTCTGCGTCTCTCTCTCATCATCATCACGGCGGCTAGGATATGTTAACCACCTCGCCTGGTCTGCAAGAGGTCATGGGCTCGATCCCGACCCTGACGATGCCTGCTGCTGCTGCTGTAGATTTGGAGTTTGCGGTGTTTCTCTCTCTCTCTGTCTCTCCCCGTGGTCGCGTGGATATCTCATTTCCTCCCCTCCACCTCAAGAAAGGCGCCTTTCAGAGAGTTTCGCTGCTGCGGCTATGCATCTCCCCGCAGGTGACGGCGCTGACGAACATCGCCCCACTTTGTTCGGATGCTGTCACGTGCCGAATGAAGCTTAGTGCGAGGCCTGTAGCATTTGTTATTATAAAGGGGACCCTACATTAAAGTTAAAAAAGAAACACACAAATATTAAAGCGCACAAAAAAATCTTAACTTGCAAAGTAAAGTAATTGTAATTTTTTTCATTTGCTATCCAGCCAGATTATACGACTAATCGCTAACCTTAAACAGCCGGTCGTTCGTAAAAGTCGAAGGCGGTGTAGTACTATAGCGATAGAGCAAGTGCAGAATCACCGAACCGGAATTGATAGCTTGAAAGCGTTTAGCGTGGGGCTCTTGAATTTGCGTGTCTCCGTAGCTACTACATGTGTAGCTACTACATGTGTAGCTACTACATGTGTAGCTACTACATGTGTAGCTACTACATGTGTAGCTACTACATGTGTAGCTACTACACGTGTAGCTACTACACGTGTAGCTACTACACGTGTAGCTTCTACACGTGTAGCTACTACACGTGTAGCTACTACACGTGTAGCTACTACACGTGTAGCTTCTACACGTGTAGCTTCTACACGTGTAGCTACTACACGTGTAGCTACTACTTGTGCAGCTACTACATGTGTAGCTACTACATGTGTAGCTACTACACGTGTAGCTTCTACACGTGTAGCTTCTACACGTGTAGCTACTACACGTGTAGCTACTACACGTGTAGCTACTACACGTGTAGCTACTACACGTGTAGCTACTACATGTGTAGTAGCTACTACATGTGTAGTAGCTACTACATGTGTAGCTACTACACGTGTAGCTACTACACGTGTAGCTACTACATGTGTAGCTACTACACGCGCAGCTACATGTAGTATAAAATAAAATAAATTAAATAATTATTTTATTATGTTAAATGTATTTTATTTTATTATTGTTATATATTTTTTTATTTTTTTATTTCCCTTCTACGTGACTTTACATTATTTTAGTTTTTTATAATAATAATAATAATAATAGGGGTTTTCCCCCTTTTTTCTGGCGACAAAACTTGAAACCTTTTTACGAGGATTCATGTCTGCGTTAACCACAATACTTGCGGTCAAAATGCAAACAAAAAACACACTGATAACATGATGTATTGTCCTTGAAACTGATTGGTCCACACAAGAGACAGCTTTCTTAAAAAAAACACACATTCTGATAATATTTGCATTGTCCTTGAAACTGATTGGTCCGTACCAAATATTGTGGTGAATGCAATAACACGAATCCTCGTAAAAAAAAGTTGAAGTTTTGTTGCCAGAAAGAAATCGGGGGAAAAAAACCCCTATTATTATATTTTGGTACTGGCAAAGAAGGTCGAATGATATTATTTTATCTTCTTGGTTCTTTCGGTAAAGTCACGTAGATAATTTATTTTTATTTTATTATATTATTTTATTATGTTTATTATTTATAATTTTATTATATAAGAAAAATAAAACATAGCTTTATTATATTATTTTATTATTTTTCTTTTTATTATTTTATTATTTCCCTTCTAAGTGACTTTACCGAAAGAACCAAGAAGATGAATCCCTGCAGTCACGAAAGCTTTAAATCGAGATAGTATTTTAGTTTTTGTTGTGACGGTTCCACCTGAAGACGGATGCTTGTGTTGCCTCTGAAACGTCGTGATTTTTAATTTATTTTTATTTTATTTTAATTTTTTACCGAAATGACTTTACCTAAAAAACAAAGAGTATGGACTCTTGAAGTCACGAAAACTTCAAATCTAGAATTAGTTTCGTTGTTCTTGTTGCTGCTGCCCGCATTCAAACGTCTGCATGGCCCATGCACCTCAAAACTCAATTTCCTTGCAAAGGAATACGGGGAAAGCCGTGCGAGTTAACAGCGATACAAAGATCCCCCGTGTAGCCTCTAACAGACTGTGGGGGCAAGTGCTGTTGGTAGCGAGTAGCGAGTAGCAGCAACATATACAAAGACAAAGATCCCCCGTGTAGCCTCTAACAGACTATGGGGCAAGTGCTGTTGGTAGCGAGTAGCGAGTAGCAGCAACATATACAAAGACAAAGATCCCCCGTGTAGCCTCTAACATACTGTGGGGCAAGTGCTTGTTGGTAGCGAGTAGCAGCAACATACACAAAGACAAAGGTCCCCCGTGTAGCCTCTAACAGACTGTAGGGGCAAGTGCTGTTGGTAGCAAGTATCAGCAACATACACAAAGACAAAGATCCCCCGTGTAGCCTCCAACAGACTGTAGGGGCAAGTGCTGTTGGTAGCGAGAAGCAGCAACATACACAAAGACAAAGATCCCCCGTGTAGCCTCTAACAGGCTGTGGGGCAAGTGCTGTTGGTAGCCACACACAAAGACAAAGATCCCCCGTGTAGCCTCTAACAGGCTGTAGAGGCAAGTGCTGTTGGTAGCGAGTAGCAGCAACATACACAAAGACAAAGATCCCCCGTGTAGCCTCTAACAGGCTGTAGGGGCAAGTGCTGTGGGTAGCGAGTAGCAACACGAGGGGGTGGGTGGCCAGCAACCAAGCCCCGGCCGCCTTTGTCTCTCCGAGTGGCGATATTTGCACGCAGTACCGGGTACTCATTTTGAGGCTGAGTCGACCTAGGGGAGGCCCACGACCGGCTCAGGTAAATCGTCACTGGCGGTGTTGGCCGCGATTAGGGATCGCTAACCACTGCGCCACCAGTCCACATAAAACATGCACGGTGGCTCGGAGATGTTGACTACCTCGCCTGGTATACAGGAGGTCGTGGGTTCAATCCCAACACTGACGCCTGCTGTATATTTGGAGTTTGCGTGTCTCTCTCTCATCACCATCACGGTGGCTATGAGATGTTGACTAACTCGCCTGGTATACAGGAGGTCGTGGGTTCGATCCCGACCCTGACACCTGCTGCTGTATATTTGGAGTTTGCGTGTCTCTCTCATCATCATCACGGTGGCTAGGAGATGTTGACTACCTCGCCTGGTATACAGGAGGTCGTGGGTTCGATCCCGACACTGACGATGCCTGCTGCTGTATATTTGGAGTCTGCGTGTCTCTCTCTCATCACCATCGCTTCTGAAAAAGAGCGACGGAGTTTAGTGGGACCTTACCTGGTGAAAATAAAAAAATAGAATTAGTTTAGAATGTACACACACACACAACTACTACTACTACTACATACGAGATACATTCAATGCAACACTTGCAGTCCTCTACGCAGACACATCTGCCATTTGAAATGCGGTGGTGGTGGTGCTAAGGGGTTGGTGGGTCAGGTGCAGATTCGCGTCGCGCTTTTCAAACTCCCCGGGCTACCGGGTCGCCACCGTGACGGAGGGGGGATCATGAACCCGTCTGTGCGATACGGCGCTGCAGGTCGCGACAACGCTCGCTCGCCCACCCGCTCGCCCACATCGCTCGCCCACTCGCTCACTCGCCCGCCCACTCGCTTAACCACCCACCCGCCCACTCGCTTAACCACCCGCTCGCCCACTCGCTCGCCAGTCGCTCACCCACCCACTCACCCACCCACACTCACCCGCTCGCTCACCCACCCACTCGCCCACCCACGCTCACCCGCTCGCTCACCCACCCACTCGCCCACTCGCCCGCCCACTCGCCCGCCCACTCGCTCACTCGCCCAACCGTTCGCTAACCCACCCACCCACTTGCTCACCCACCTCCTCACCCACCCATCCACTTGCACGCTCACCCACCTGCTCACTCACCCAGTCACCCACCCACCCACCCACCTGCACACCCACGCACCCACCCACTCACATAGACTCACACAATGGTCCGCAAGCTCAGAGAACTACAGATCTAAAGAGACTCATCGACTCGCATGGAGGCCCACGGACTCACCATCACCGCCGCCACCGCCAACGCCACCACCACAACCAACACCGCCACCACCGCCACAACCACCGGTCACCACCACCACCACCGCCGCCACCACCGCCGCCATCACTACCGCCACCACCGCCGCCACCACCGCCGCATGGACCAAACTGCCGCAGGGCAAAACGCCTCTTCACATCGATACCCAATGACAATTACATTCAAATCCCGAACAATCACAGCCCGCAAACTCTGTGTGTGTGTGTCGTTCAAACGCCTGTCTCCGTTAGTCCCCCTGCGTCGTCCCCCGTGTCTCCGTTAGTCCCCCCACGTCATCTCCCGTGTCTCCGTTAGTCCCCGTGGCGTCTCCGTTAGTCCCCGTGGTGTCTCCCGTGTCTCCGTTAGTCCCCGTGACGTCTCCCGTGTCTCCGTTAGTCCCCGTGGCGTCTCCGTTAGTCCCCGTGGCATCTCCCGTGTCTCCGTTAGTCCCCGTGGCGTCTCCGTTAGTCCCCGTGACGTCTCCCGTGTCTCCGTTAGTCCCCGTGGCGTCTCCGTTAGTCCCCGTGACGTCTCCCGTGTCTCCGTTAGTCCCCGTGACGTCTCCCGTGTCTCCGTTAGTCCCCGTGGCGTCTCCGTTAGTGCCCATGGCGTCCCCCGTGTCTCCGTTAGTCCCCCGTGGTCTCTTCGTTAGTCCCCGTGGCGTCTCCGTTAGTCCCCGTGGCGTCTCCCGTGTCTCCGTTAGTCCCCGTGACGTCTCCCGTGTCTCCGTTAGTCCCCGTGGCGTCTCCGTTAGTGCCCATGGCGTCCCCCGTGTCTCCGTTAGTCCCCCGTGGTCTCTCCGTTAGTCCCCGTGGCGTCTCCTCCGCTTGGCGACCGTGTCCTGGAAGGCGTGCGGCCTCAGCTTCATCTCCACGAAGCTCAGAGACCCCTCGTGGCCACGCCACGCCACCCAGTTCACCCCCTACACACACAGCGTTCACACACACACAGCGTTCACACAGACACACACAGCGTTCACACACAGACACACACAGACACACACAGCGTTCACACACACAGTGTTCACACACGGCGTTCACACACAGACACACACAGCGTTCACACACAGACACACACAGCGTTCACACAGACACACACAGCGTTCACACACAGACACACACAGCGTTCACACACACAGCGTTCACACACGGCGTTCACACACAGTGTTCACTCACAGCACAGACCATGTGGTGTGATGTGGTGTGTGTGCTATGAGTGCACACGTGCGTAGTATGGGGTGTGTGCGGTGTGTGCGGTGTGATGCGTGCGGTATGATGTGTGCGGTATGACGCGTGCGGTATGACGTGTGCGGTATGATGCGTGCGGTATGATGCGTGCGGTATGATGCGTGCGGTGTGATGCGTGCGGTGTGATGCGTGCGGTGTGATGCGTGCGGTATGATGCGTGCGGTATGATGCGTGCGGTATGATGCGTGCGGTATGATGCGTGCGGTATGACGCATGTGGTATGATGCGTGCGGTATGATGCGCGCTGCTCGTCGAGGACTAACCCTGCTGTGGCTGGTGTCCCCGTAGCGCCCGTTCAGGTTGGCCTTGTGGCAGTTGCGGTACCACCAGCCGCCCCGGTAGGCCTCAGCACAGTGCGGGGCTGCCCCGTCGTGGTCACGGTCCGGCGTAGAGAACGCCCGGCCGTGGTGGTACGACAGGGAGTCACCTGCAGACACACGCAGCGCCGTGGTGGTGGGGTGGTGGTGGTGGTGGGGGTGGTGGTGTGGTGCTGGTGGGGTGTGGTGGTGGGGTGGTGGTGTGGTGGTAGTGGGGTGGTGGGGTGGTGGTAGTGGGGTGGTGGGGTGGTGGTGGTGTGGTGGTAGTGGGGGTGGTGATGGGGGTTGGGGGGTTGGTGGTGGTGGGGTGGTGGTGGTGGGGGTGGTGGTGGGGTGGTGGTGGTGTGGTGGGGGTGGTGGTGGTAGTGGGGTGGTGGTGGTGGTGTGGTGGTGGTGTCGTGATGCCGTGGTGTGGTGGTGGTGGGGTGGTGGTGGTGGGGGGATGGTGGTGGTGGGGTGGTGGTGGTGGTGGTGGGGTGGTGGTGGTGGTATGGTGGTGGTGGTGGTGGAACCACGTAGGGTGTGACATACAAGAGGGTGTGTCTCCGTGTGTATCTGTGTGAGCACCGGTTTATGTTTAATTCGTAGTTTCGTGGTAATTCATTGAAGGTGGAGGGGTTACCAGCCCCTCGTACCCATCCAGAGCCCCCGTTTAGCCACTGTGGTGGTCACAGACACCATGAGGGGAGAGGCCAATGGGCATTGGTCCTCCCCCCATAGCACTGTCTACGACAGTGTTGCCCGTCCGGCACCGCGAGGAGGGCGGAGGAGCGACGCTCACAACAACGAGCGGAGCGCCGGGTGGCTAAAGCACAGCAAGTTGATACAGTAGGGGGCACAGGTGGTGCATCAGCCAGTCATCTCGGTCATCTCGGTCAGTCGACCCGTGGCACCTGCTGGGTCTGCCCCGTGACCTCCTGCCAGCGGGCGTTCGACACTTCACGTGGCCTCAAGGTGCACATGGCCTGGCACAAGCGTCGTGGTGACGTCACCGCCACTTAGTGGCGAATGGCGGTTGTTGTTGTCTGTGTGTGTGTCTGTGTGTGTGTCTGTGTGTGTGTACCTGTGTGTATCTGTGTATCTGTGTGTGTGTACCTGTGTGTGTGTGTACCTGTGTCTGTGTGTGTCTGTGTGTGTCTGTGTGTGTGTGTCTTTGTGTGTGTATCTACGTGTGTATCTGTGTGTATGTGTACCTGTGTGTGTGTGTGTACCTGTACCTGTGTGTGTGTCTGTGTGTGTGTCTGTGTGTGTGTGTACCTGTGTGTGTATCTGTGTGTACCTGTGAGTGTGTCTGTGTGTGTGTCTGTGTGTGTGTGTACCTGTGTGTGTGTGTGTATCTGTGTGTATATCTGTGTATCTGTGTGTGTACCTGTGTGTGTGTGTGTACCTGTGTGTGTGTGTACCTGTACCTGTGTGTCTGTGTGTGTGTACCTGTGTGTACTTGTGTGTGTCTGTGTGTGTGTACCTGCGTTCCCGCTGTACTCTCCGATGCGCACGCGGTACAGCGAGGCGGCGTCCCCCACGTCTCTGTGTGTGTGTGTCTGTGTGTACCTGTGTGTGTCTGTCTGTGTGTGTGTGTGTACCTGTGAGTGTCTGTCTGTGTGTGTGTGTGTACCTGTGTGTGTGTGTCTGTGTGTGTGTGTGTCTGTGTGTGTGTGTCTGTGTGTGTGTGTGTACCTGTGTGTACCTGTGTGTGTGTCTGTGTGTGTACCTGTGTGTGTACCTGTGTGTGTGTCTGTGTGTGTGTCTGTGTGTGTGTACCTGTGTGTGTACCTATGTGTGTGTCTGTGTGTGTGTACCTGCATTTGTGGGGAGCGGTGGTGTAGCGGTTAGCGCGCTGCGCTATGAACCTGGCGACCCGGGTTCGATTCCCGCTCACGGCTAACACCAGTGACGATTATCTGAACCGGTCCTGGGCCTCCCCTAGGTCGACTCAGCCTTAAATGAGTACCTGGTGCGGTGTGTAAACATCGCCACTAGGGAGACAAAGGCGGTCGGGCGTGGTGCTGGCCACCCACCCCCTCGTGTACCGTTCCGGCCTTCATAGGTGCTCGCTAACAGCACTTGCCCTTACAGTCTGTTCAGGCTATACAGGGGATCTTTGTACCTGCGTCCCCGCTGTACTCTCCGATGCGCACGCGGTACAGCGAGGCGGCGTCCCCCACGGTGAAGCGGTCGTACTGGGCGAAGGCCGAGGCCTCCCCGTCGCCTAGCTCCACACGCAGCTCGTAGCGCGCCTGGGACGACAGCTCGTGCAGCGCACGCAGGCCTGGGGGGCGTCACACCACGTCATCACACCACGTGACGTCACACCACGTCATCACACCACGTGACGCCACGTGACACCACACTACGTGACACCACACCACGTCACACCACGTCATCACACCACGTCATCACACCACGTGACACCACACCACGTGACACCACACCACGTGACACCACACCACGTGACACCACACCACGTCACACCACGTCATCACACCACGTGACGTCACACCACGCCACACCACGTCATCACACCACGTCACACCACGTGACACCACACCACGTGACACCATGTCACACCACGTCACGTGACATCACACGACACCACGTCACGTGACGTCACACTACACCACGTCACGTGACATCACACCACACCACGTGACACCACACCACGTGACACCACACCACGTCATCACACCACGTGACACCACACCACGTGACACCACACCACGTGACACCACTCCACGTCACAACACACCACGTCACACCATGTCACACTACACCGTGTCACACCACACTTCGTGGAAGGTCAGGGTCAGGTTGAAGGTCGGGACAAAGGTCGGGGGGGGGGTCAGCTGAGGGTCATGGTGGAGGTCGGGGAGGGTCAGGTTGAAGGTCGGGGCAAAGGTCAGGGGTCAGGGGTCAGGGGACCCACCCATCCAGAATTCTCGCGAGGGCTCCCCGAATCCGTCCTCGTACTCTTGCCAGCCTCGCTCGAAGTTCGTGTGCCCACTCTGCCTGCGCTGGAACACCTGGGGGGGGGCGACAGTGGGAACATCGTCATCATCAGCATCATCAGCATCATCATCATCAGCATCATCATCATCAGCATCATCATCATCATCAGCTGCAGCAGCAGCAGTAGTAGCATCATCAGTAGTAGCCGCAGCATCATCAGTAGCATCATCAGCATCATCATCAGCAGCATCATCAGTAGTAGCAGCATCATCAGCAGCATCAGCAGCAGTAGTAGTAGGAGCAGCAGTAGCAGCAGGAGTAGCAGCAGCAGTAGTAGTAGGAGCAGCAGCAGTAGCAGCAGTAGCAGTAGCAGCAGCAGCAGTAGTAGTAGCAGCAGTAGCAGCAGTAGTAGCAGCAGCAGTAGCAGTAGTAGCAGTAGCAGCAGTAGTAGCAGCAGCAGTAGTAGTAGTAGCAGCAGTAGTAGTAGCAGCAGTAGCAGCAGTAGTAGCAGTAGTAGTAGCAGTAGCAGCAGCAGTAGCAGTAGTAGTAGGAGCAGCAGTAGCAGCAGTAGTAGTAGTAGAAGATGGATCAGGAGAAGCATCATTCACCATCACGACCATCATGGGGTCATCTTCACGAGTGTTACATCTAGGAGGCTACACGGAGGATCTTGGCGTGTGTGTGTCTGTGTGTATATGTCTCTGTGTGTGTGTGTCTGTGTGTGTATGTCCGTGTGTGTGTCTGTGTGTGTGTCCGTGTGTGTGTCTGTGTGTATATGTCTGTGTGTGTGTCTGTGTGTGTGTCTGTGTGTGTGTATGTCCGTGTGTGTGTGTCTGTGTGTGTGTGTGTCTCTGTCTGTGTGTCTGTGTGTGTGTCTGTGTATGTGTGTCTGTGTGTGTGTCTGTGTGTGTGTCTGTGTGTGTGTCTGTGTCAGTGGGGAGCGGTAGTGTAGCGGTTAGCGCGCTGCGCTATGAACCCGGCGACACGGGTTCGATTCCCGCTCACTGCCAACATCAGTGACAATTATCTGAACCGGTCCCGGGCCTCCCCGAGGTCGACTCAGCCTCAAATGAGTACCTGGTGCGCTGTGTAAACATTGCCACTAGGGAGACAAAGGCGGTCGGGCGTGGTGCTGGCCACCCACCCCCTCGTGTACCGTTCCGGCCTTCATAGGTGCTCGCTAACAGCACTTGCCCCTACAGTCTGTTCAGGCTATACGGGGGATCTTTGTCTTTGTCTTTGTGTGTGTGTGTGTGTCTGTGTGTGTCTGTGTGTCTGTCTGTGTGTGTGTGTCCGTGTGTGTCTGTCTGTGTGTGTGTGCGTGTGTGCGCGCGGGGTACCGTCCATCCTCCTCCGTCGGTGTGCATGTCACAGGTCACGTGCAGAGGCTTGGCAGGGTCACCCCGCAGGTAAACCACCACCTGCTCCCTCCTCGCTGCTGCCCCCTGCCCCCCCGCTGCCCCCGCTGCTGCTGCCCCCTCTGGCCCCCCCTTCTCGGGGTCGTTGAGCAGCACCTGGGAACAGTCACGTGGGAAGGGGAAGGGCAGCTGGGCTGCAAAGGGGCACAGAGACAAAGGTTCACCCACACCGCAGCGTAGCCTACACGGACCAGTCGGGGCAAGTGCTGTTGGTGAGCGAGTAGCAGCTGTGAGATATACAGACAAAGATCCCCCATGTAGCCTGTAACAGGCTGTCGGGGAAAGTGCTGTTAGTTAGCGAGTAGCAGCTATAAGATACAGACAAAGATCCCCCGTGTAGCCTTAACAGGCTGTCGGGGCAAGTGCTGTTAGTTAGCGAGTAGCAGCTATGAGAGACAGACAAAGATCCCCCGTGTAGCCTGCCCCAGGCTGTCGGGGCAAGTGCAGTTAGTTAGCGATTAGCAGCAGCAACACTGCAGGGTCTGTCCAATGACCTCCTCGTGCACCTAGCCTGGTACAGCAGTCAACCCATGGCACCTGCAGGGTCTGTCCCGTGACCTCCTCCTGCACCTAGCCTGGCACAGCAGCCAACCCACGGCACCTGCAGGGTCTGTCCTGTGACCTCCTCCTGCACCTAGCCTGGCACAGCAGTCAACCCATGGCACCTCAGTCTGCCCCATGACCTGCACCTAGCCTGGCACAGCAGTCAACTCATGCCACCTCAGTCTGTCCCATGACCTGCACCTAGCCTGGCACAGCAGTCAACCACGGCACCTGCAGGGTCTGCCCCGTGACCTCCTCCTCCTGCACCTAGCCTGGCACAGCAGTCAACCCATGCCACCTCAGTCTGCCCCATGACCTGCACCTAGCCTGGCACGGCAGTCAACTCATGCCGCATGAGTCTGTCCCATGACCTGCACCTAGCCTGGCACAGCAGTCAACCACGGCACCTGAGTCTGTCCCATGACCTGCACCTAGCCTGGCACGGCAGTCAACCCATGCCACCTGAGTCTGCCCCATGACCTGCACCTAGCCTGGCACGGCACTCAACCCACGGCACCTGCAGGGTCTGCCCCGTGACCTCTTCCTGCACCTAGCCTGGCACAGCAGTCAACCCACGGCACCTGAGTCTGTCCCATGACCTGCACCTAGCCTGGCACAGCAGTCAACCCATGCCACCTGAGTCTGTCCCGTGACCTCCTCCTGCACCTAGCCTGGCACAGCAGTCAACCCATGCCACCTGAGTCTGTCCCGTGACCTCCTCCTGCACCTAGCCTGGCACAGCAGTCAACCCATGCCACCTGAGTCTGTCCCGTGACCTCCTCCTGCACCTAGCCTGGCACAGCAGTCAACCCATGCCACATGAGTCTGTCCCATGACCTGCACCTAGCCTGGCACAGCAGTCAACCCATGCCACCTGAGTCTGTCCCATGACCTGCACCTAGCCTGGCACAGCAGTCAACCCACGGCACCTGCAGGGTCTGCCCCGTGACCTCTTCCTGCACCTAGCCTGGCACAGCAGTCAACCCATGCCACCTGAGTCTGTCCCATGACCTGCACCTAGCCTGGCACAGCAGTCAACCCACGGCACCTGCAGGGTCTGCCCCGTGACCTCTTCCTGCACCTAGCCTGGCACAGCAGTCAACCCATGCCACCTGAGTCTGTCCCATGACCTGCACCTAGCCTGGCACAGCAGTCAACCCACGGCACCTGCAGGGTCTGCCCCGTGACCTCTTCCTGCACCTAGCCTGGCACAGCAGTCAACCCATGCCACCTGAGTCTGTCCCATGACCTGCACCTAGCCTGGCACAGCAGTCAACCCACGGCACCTGCAGGGTCTGCCCCGTGACCTCTTCCTGCACCTAGCCTGGCACAGCAGTCAACCCATGCCACCTGAGTCTGTCCCATGACCTGCACCTAGCCTGGCACGGCAGTCAACGCGTGGTGAGCGTGCCGAGGTGAGCGAGCAGGAAGAGGAGGAGGAGTGGGGGGTGAGCGAGCAGCAGGAGGAGGAGTGAGTGGGGGGTGAGCGAGCAGCAGGAGGAGGAGTGAGTGGGGGGTGAGCGAGCAGCAGCAGGAGGAGTGAGTGGGGGGTGAGCGAGCAGCAGCAGGAGGAGTGAGTGGGGGGTGAGCGAGCAGCAGCAGGAGGAGTGAGTGGGGGGTGAGCGAGCAGCAGGAGGAGGAGTGAGTGGGGGGTGAGCACCTGTGTGCAGGTGGCTGCGTGTGGGTTGGCTGCGCGTGAGGACGCCCTCCAGTGCGGCGCTGGCCGTGACGAGGAGGCTGTAGTGGGTGTCGGGACGCAGCCCCGTCAGCTTCACCCACGGGGTGGACGCCGGGATTGTCAACTCCTGCGACTCCTGGGGGAGGGGGCACGGGGGGGGGGAGGGGCCACGGGGGGGATGGGGAGGGGCCAGGGGGGGCATGAGGGAGGGGCCACAGGGGGGCACGGGGGGCATTTAGTGGTGGTTGTGGTGATAGTTGTGGTGGTGGTTGTGGTTGTGGTGGTTGTGGTGCTTGTGGTGGTAGTGGTTGTGGTGATTGTGTTAGTGGTGGTTGTGGTTGTGGTGGTTGTAGTGGTGGTGGTGTTAGTGGTGTTAGTGGTGATGGTGGTAGTGGTGGTTGTGGTTGTGGTGGTTGTGGTGGTGGCACCTCGTGCGTGTCGTTGTGGTTGTGGTAGTGGTGGTGGTGGTAGTTGTGGTGGTGGTTGTGGTGGTGGCACCTCGTGCGTGTCGTTGTGGTTGTGGTAGTGGTGGTGGTGGTAGTTGTGGTGGTGGTTGTGGTGGTGGCACCTCGTGCGTGTCGTTGTGGTTGTGGTAGTGGTGGTGGTGGTGGTAGTTGTGGTGGTGGTTGTGGTGGTGGCACCTCGTGCGTATCGTTGTGGTTGTGGTAGTGGTGGTGGTGGTAGTTGTGGTGGTGGTTGTGGTGGTGGCACCTCGTGCGTGTCGTTGTGGTTGTGGTAGTGGTGGTGGTGGTAGTTGTGGTGGTGGTTGTGGTGGTGGCACCTCGTGCGTGTCGTTGTGGTTGTGGTAGTGGTGGTGGTGGTAGTTGTGGTGGTGGTTGTGGTGGTGGCACCTCGTGCGTGTCGTTGTGGTTGTGGTAGTGGTGGTGGTGGTGGTAGTTGTGGTGGTGGTTGTGGTGGTGGCACCTCGTGCGTGTCGTTGTGGTAGTGGTGGTGGTGGTAGTTGTGGTGGTGGTTGTGGTGGTGGCACCTCGTGCGTGTCGTTGCCGGCCTCGTAGTTGACGCTGAACCCCCCCGTGGCGTTCCCCAGCGGCGGCTTCCAGCTGACACGGGCAGCCCACGGGGTCACCCCACTCACTCGCACTGCGCGGGGGGGGTCCAGGCCTGGGGGGGGGGTGGAGGGGGTGGGGGGGGGGAGGGGGGGGGGGGAGTGGGGGGGGGAGTGGGGGGAGTGGGGGGGGCGGTGAGGGTGAAGAGAGGGGAGTGGGGAGATGGGCGAGTGAGGGAGTGGGGGGGGGGAGTGGGGGGGCGAGTGGGGGGAGTGGGGGGGTGGGGTGGAAGGGAGTGGGGGGGGGCGAGTGGGGGGGGGGCGGTGAGGGTGAAGAGAGGGGGGGAGTGGGGGGAGTGGGGGGGCGGTGATGGTGAAGAGAGTGGGGGAGTGGGCGAGTGGGGGGGGAGTGGGCGAGTGGGGGGGGGGGGAGTGGGGGGAGGGTGGGTGGGCGAGTGGGGGGGCGGTGATGGTGAAGGGAGTGGGCGAGTGGGGGGAGAGGAGTGAGAGGAGTGGAGTGGGGGGGAGGGGGGCGAGTGGGTGGAGGGGGGGGCAAGTGAGGGGAGTAGGGGGAGGGGGGCGAGTGGGGGGCACAGCAGTACAACCCATAACAGACGGCACCTAGCGGCTCCAGCTCCCACATATGGTGCGAAAGAGTTCAATAAACAAATACACTACACTAAAATACACTGTACACTACACTACAATACACTATACACTACATTACAATACACTATACACTACATTACAATACACTACATTACAATACACTATACACTACATTACAATACACTATACACTACAATACACTACACACTACATTATACACCATGCTGCACTACGATACACTACACACTGCACACTAACAACCTGCCTCCGCTATCCCCGCAGCGAATTGGCTCATCTTTGCCCATGAGGCCTGTGGCCCCATGAGGTCTGTGGCCCCATGAGGCCTGTGGCCCCATGAGGCTTGTGGATCCCATGAGGCCTGTGGCCCCATGAGGTCTGTGGCCCCATGAGGCTTGTGGACCCCATGAGGCCTGTGGCCCCATGAGGTCTGTGGCCCCATGAGGCTTGTGGACCCCATGAGGTCTGTGGCCCCATGAGGCCTGTGGCCCCATGAGGCTTGTGGACCCCATGAGGCCTGTGGCCCCATGAGGCCTGTGGACCCCATGAGGCCTGTGGCCCCATGAGGTCTGTGGCCCCATGAGGCCTGTGGCCCCATGAGGCTTGTGGACCCCATGAGGCCTGTGGCCCCATGAGGTCTGTGGCCCCATGAGGTCTGTGGACCCATGAGACCTGTGGACCCATGAGGCCTGTAGCCCCGTGAGGCCTGTGGCCCCATGAGGCCTGTGGCCCCATGAGGCCTGTGGCCCCGTGAGGCCTGTAGCCCCATGAGGCCTGTGGACCCATGAGGCCTGTAGCCCCATGAGGCCTGTGGACCCATGAGGCCTGTGGCCCCGTGAGGCCTGTAGCCCCATGAGGCCTGTGGACCCATGAGGCCTGTAGCCCCATGAGGCCTGTGGACCCATGAGGCCTGTGGGCCCCATGAGGCCTGTGGACCCATGAGGCCTGTGGACCCATGAGGCCTGTAGCCCCATGAGGTCTGTGGCCCCATGAGGTCTGTGGCCCCATGAGGCCTGTGGACCCGTGAGGCCTGTGGACCCCATGAGGCCTGTGGACCCCATGAGGCCTGTGGACCCCATGAGGTCTGTGGACTCCATGAGGCCTGTGGGCCCCATGAGGCCTGTGGGCTCATGAGGCTTGTGGACCCCATGAGGCCTGTGGGCTCTTGAGGCCTGTGGACCCGTGAGGTTTGTGGCCCAATGAGGCTTGTGGACCCCATGAGGCCTGTGACCCCGTGAGGCCTGTGAGCCCGTGAGGCCTGTGGGCCCCGCACGGCGTACCGGTGGTGAAGGCGGCCAGGCTGGGGGCGCTGCGAGCGGGGCCCCGCACCGCCGTGGCCGTCACCTCGTAGCGAGTGAGCGGCGACAGGTGGGTGACGGTGAACCACGTGGAGCGGCCTCCCAGCAGGGCGCTGCGGGCGGCCCCGGCGCGGCCTGCAGCATCAGCAGCATCGTCATCGGGAGTGATATCATCATCAGCATCATCATCATCAGCAGTAGTAGCATCATCGTCAGCATCGTCAGTAGTAGTATGATCATCGGGAGTGGCAGCATCATCGTTATCGGGAGTGATATCATCATCATCATGATTAGTAGTGGCATCATCGTCAGTAGTAGTATCATCATCAGTAGTGGCAGCATCATCATCATCGGGAGTGATATCATCATCGTCAGCAGCATCATCGTCGTCGGGAGTGATATCATCATCGCCAGCATCGTCAGTGGTAGTATCATCATCAGCAGCATCATCAGTAGTAGTATCATCAGCAGCAGCATCATCAGTAGTATCATCATCATCGGTAGTGATATCATCATCATCAGCATCGTCATCAGTAGTAGTATCATCAGCAGCAGCATCATCAGTAGTATCATCATCATCATCAGTAGTGGCATCATCATCAGCATCGTCATGATCAGTAGTAGCATCATCATCAGGAGGAACATCATCGTAATCATGATCAGTAGTTGCATCATCATAATCAGTAGTGGCATCATCACCATCATCAGTAGTGGCATCATCATCAGTAGCAGCATCGTCATCATCAGCATCATCATCAATAGCAGCAGCATCAGCATGGCTGTGTGGGTGTGTGTGTGTGGATGTGGTCACGGCAAAACAACCTCCTACCTCCTCGCGGTGCCGGACGGGCAACACTGTCGTGGACATTGCTGTGGGGGGAGGGCCAATGCCCATTGGCCTCTCCCCTCATGGCGTCTGTGACCACCACAGTGGCTAAACGGGGGCTCTGGACGGGTGTGAGGGGCTGGTAACCCCTCCACCTTCAATTCATTACCACTAAACCACGAATTAAACATAAACCTGTAACAAATAAGCTTGTGCCGGAGGCCCCGGGGGGTCAGGCTTTTATGACGTCTCCTGGCCAAACCCCATTTGGCGGAGCCAGGAGATTGAATTTTCACCCTCGGGGCTCCTCCAGAAACAACAAAAAACCATTGCGGATGGCCACGTGGAATGTTCGAACGCTCACTGCGGAGGAGAGGCTGCCACTCCTCTGTCGGGAGCTGGACCGGTACCGCCTGGATCTCTGTGGCATTCAGGAGGTCCGGTGGACCGGTTCTGGCTCCTGCCACCATGAGGGGTGGACAGTCCTCTACTCGGGGCAGGAGACTGCCAAACAACAGGGTGTGGCTCTTCTTCTGAACAAAAGAATGAAGGGGGCGTGGGAGCGTGGCGGTGAGGTGTGGGAAGCTGTAAGCCCCAGGATACTTTGGGCTCGCCTTCCCATCAACCAGAGGCGAGGAGTGGTGGTCGTGGTTACTTATGCCCCCACCGAAGACGAACATCCGTGGAGGGATGCAAGCAAAGCCGATGAGTCAGACGCTTTCTATGACCTCCTGTCACAGGTGCTGGCTAAAGTGGCCACTCGGGACAGAGTCATCTTGTTGGGTGACTTCAATGCCCGAGTTGGTCATGATGCTGACACCTGGTCTGGAGTGATTGGAAGGCATGGGCCAGATCAGCTCAATAATAACGGTAGGAGGCTGCTAGATTTTTGTGCAGCCCATGGGCTTGTAATTACCAACACGCTCTTCCGGCATCGGCGCATCCACACAACATCATGGATACATGCCGGGTCCAAGCAAGAACATCTGCTGGACTACATAGTGAAGGACCAGCGGATGCGAACCCATGTCCTTGACACCAGGACCTACCGTGGAGCTGATCTGTCCTCTGACCATCGACTAGTCATCTGTAAGATGCGCCTGCCTTTCTTCCACTCCGGTGGTGGGTGTACACCCAGGATCCCATTCCAACCAAAAGTGGCCTGGTCTCAGTTAGCTGATGAAAGTTGCAAGCGAGAATTTCATCATCGCTTGCAGCTGGGGTTGGCATCGTCCCCCACTCCACCTGATGTCGAGGGTAAATGGGCGAGGTTTAGGACTGTGACTCATGCAGCTGCAATGGCTGCTTTGGGTACGCGGTCCAGACCTCCCCAGAAACCCTGGCTGACAGAGGAGGTGTTCAGGTTAATTGAGAAAAAGCGACAGGCCCACTCTCATCGCCTACAGCATCCCACGTCAGAGAATGAGGAGGTTTACCGCAGCCTTCGCTCGGAAGTTCGGAGAGCCGTAAGGCGTTGTAAGGATGGGTGGTGGTCGCGGGTTGCTGAGGAGATGGAGTCTGCCTCAGTGGCCCGTGATCACAAATCACTATTTAACTCCATCAAAAAAGTAACCTGCAGCGCCACACCTATTACCATCATTAGAGGAAAAAAACGGTGATCCAATCTCCGACCCCCAGGAACAGGTTTGCAGATTTTCTGAGCATTTCTGTGAGGTCCTGGGGGAGGGAAATTCTCTCAGCCAGGAAAACATCATGGCACAAAGTGGGGATAACCCTGCTGAGGCTGCGGTGCCTCAAATATTGGAAGAGGTCACCTCCTGTGAGTGGCTGGCTGAGGTTCCAGCTGTTGAGGAAGTACTGAGGGCGATCCGGAGTCTGAGACCAGGGAAGGCACCGGGCAGAGATGATCTCCCAAGCGAAATGCTGAGGGAGTGTGGCGTTTGTGCACAGACTGCCCTATATGACATCATAACAACAGTCTGGACCACTGGACGGGTTCCGCAGGACTGGAAGGATGCCCTGGTGGTCCCCCTCTTTAAGAAGGGGGACCGCACAGACTGTAACAACTACAGGGGCATCTCACTCCTCAGTGTGCCGGGTAAGGTCCTGGCAAGGATTATTCAACATCGCCTTGCTAGGCACGCTGAGGAGGGGCTTGCGGAGCCCCAATGCGGTTTCAGGAAAGGGCGGTCCTGCACAGATGCCATATTTTCTGTCCGTCTGCTACAGCAGAGGTGTAGGGAATTCCAAAAAGACCTACATCTCTGCTTTATTGACCTGGTCAAGGCCTATGATACCATCAGTAGGACTGGACTCTGGGTTGTTCTTCGTGCTTTCGGAGTCCCTGACCCTCTGCTCACGATCATTAAGGACCTTCATGATGGTGAGCGGGCCCGGGTAAAACTACGTGGCCGGGAGTCGGAGCCTTTCCCTGTACACCTTGGGGTGCGACAGGGATGTCCTCTGGCTCCCACATTATTTAACATCTATTTTGACCGCGTAGTTCGTGAAGCCTTCAATAGCTGTACCGGAGGAATTTCCATTTGGTACAGATATAATGGGAGGCTGATCGACGCCCGGGTGCGATCAAGGGATGGCTCCCTATTGGTCAACCACGTTATGTATGCCGATGATTTGGTAATAGCTGCTCATTCAGAAGAGGAGTTGGAGGCGCTGCTGCTGAGACTGGAGCGTGCCACTAAGAGGTGGGGCCTTACCATCAGCCCCACCAAAACCAAGCACCTGCCTGGGTATTTTGTACCATCGGACACTCCACCCCCACAACTCCCAATTGGTGATGGGGCAGTTGTGGAGAGAGTGGAGAGTTTCCCATACCTGGGCAGTATGCTTATGACTGGCTCCAGTCTATCAGCAGAGGTCTCACTCCGAATCAGTCGAGCGGCAATATCTTTTCATCGGTTGCGTAACGCTGTGTGGAAGCTACCTGGTCTGTCGCTCCGCACGAAGCTTCAGGTCTTCTCGGCCACGGTCATTCCCTCCCTTCTCTACGCTTGCGAGACGTGGACCCCCCTGGTGGAGCATCTTCGCCGGTTGGAAACATTTAGGCTGGCCTGCCTACGATCCATCCTGGGTTTAACCAGGCTGGATTGTGTGAGGAGCTCACAAATCCTTGAAAGATCTGGGCAAAGTCCCATCAGTGAGCTCCTCCGGCAGGCAAGGCTGCGTTGGCTGGGTCATGTAGCCCGCATGCCCAGCCACCGCATGCCTAAACAGCTTTTGTTCGGCCGGATCGAGGGGGCTAGACGGGCGCGGCACGGGCTGGAGAAGAGATGGAGTGATGTGGTACAGGAGGACGTGGAGCTGAGTGGACTTGCCGATGACTGGTACCAGCGGTGTCAAGATCGGCCTCAGTGGAGGAGGCTCGTGAAGGACGCTACTGGGCAGTTGGAGGCAGTCGCCCTCCAACAACAACGGAGGGCGGAGGAGCGACGCTCACAACAACGAGCGGAGCGCCGGGTGGCTAAAGCACAGCAAGTTGGCACAGTAGGGGGCACAGGTGGTGCATCAGCCAGTCATCTCGGTCATCTCGGTCAGTCGACCAGTGGCACCTGGGTCTGCCCCGTGACCTCCTGCCAGCGGGCTTTCGACACTTCACGTGGCCTCAAGGTGCACTTGGCCTGGCACAAGCATCGTGGTGACGTCACCGCCACTTAGTGGCGAATGGCGGTTGTTGTTGTTGTTGTGTGGATGTGTGTGGGTATGTAGCGGAGCGACGCTCACAACAACGAGCGGAGCGCCGGGTGGCTAAAGCACAGCAAGTTGGTACAGTAGGGGGCACAGGTGGTACATAAGCCAGTCATCTCGGTCATCTCAGTCAGTCGACCCGTGGCACCTGCTGGGTCTGCCCCGTGACCTCCTGCCAGCGGGCGTTCGACACTTCACGTGGCCTCAAGGTGCACATGGCCTGGCACAAGCGTCGTGGTGACGTCACCGCCACTTAGTGGCGAATGACGGTTGTTGTTGTTGTGTAGGTGTGTGTGTGGATGTGTGTGTGTAGGTGTGTGTGTGTGTGGCTGTGTGTGTATAGGTGTGTGTAGGTGTAGGCATGTGTGTGTAGGCGTGTGTGTGTAGGTGTGTCTATGTAGGTGTGTGTGTGTATAGGTGTGTGTGTAGGTGTGTGTAGGTATGTGTGTGTGTAGGCGTGTGTGTGTAGGCGTGTGTGTGTAGGCGTATGTGTGTAGGTGTGTCTATGTAGGTGTGTGTGTGTATAGGTGTGTGTGTAGGTGTGTGTAGGTATGTGTGTGTGTAGGTGTGTGTGTGTAGGTGTGTGTGTGTAGGTATGTGTGTAGGCGTGTATGTGTGCTCACCTTCCACGTGGGGCGCATACCATGTGACCCTCACCCCCGTGACCCGTGGACTTGGGGGTGGCCACGTGACCCTGGCAGCCGTGGGGGAGACTTTGGTGACGGTCAGAGCCCCCAGGGGTCGTAGCGCTAGCGAGGGGGGGGGCAGCAGTGGAGAGAGCACGCACACAGACAAAGATCACCCGCGTTGCCTCAGCAGACTGTCGGGGCAAGTGCTGTTAGCACCCATGAAGGCTACCGGCACCGCGGCACGCGAGAGGCTGGGTGGCGCACCAGGTAACTTACTTGAGGCTGAGTCGACCTAGAGGTAGACCTAGGGTTTCTAACTCGGGCCTCGGCCGGGTGCGGGGTTCGTAGCGGCGCTAACCACTGCGCCACCGCTCCCCACCACAACCCCCGACAACCAACACAACCACCACCACGACCACAACGACCACCACTACTACCACCACAGCCACCACCACAACCACCACCACCACCACAACCACCACCACAACCACCACCACGACCACCACAACCACCACAACCACCACAACCACCACCACAACCACCACAACCACCACTGCACGTTCATTTCCAAAATCGCCCCCCGCCCCCCCCCCCAGCAAACATGTACCTAGCCTGGCACCACCACCACCCCGGTGCCCCATCGTTACCTGTGACGAGTCGGAGGGGGGGCGACCTGGGTAGGGCTGGTGGTGGCGGTGGGGGGGGGCTCCCCCCCCCTCTACCCCCGCCTCTCTGCGTGACCCCCAGCAGCAGCACCTCGTAGAGAGCTCCCTCGGTGAGCTCCGTCACGACGGCCGAGCGAGCTCCGGCCGGGGCCCAAAGCTCCCTCCATCCCTCGTCGTCGCCACGGTTACCGTCGCCGCCGCCTCCATCCCCGTTGCCACCGTTACCGTCGCCGCCCTCCTCCCGTTCGCCGCCGTAGGCTCCGCCCACTCCGTGCCTGGCTCCGCCCACTTCGTGCTTGGCCCCGCCCACACTCTCGCCGGCTCCTCCCACTTTGCCGCCCGCCCCGCCCACTTCCTCTCCTGCCACCTCCTGATCCTCGTGGAGGGAGCGGTACCGCACGGTGTACGAGTCGAAGGAGAGCTCCCCGGGGAACCAGGAGACGCGGAACGATGTCGCCGTCACCTCGGACGCCGCAAGGCCGATCTGCACGGTGGCGGGCGCCGGTGCCGACGATGAACCCGGCGCGGGCGAAGGCCCGGTGCTTGCCGGCACGGCGCTGGTGGACGGGGTGGACGGTGGTCGCGGGCGATGGCGCTGGGACTTCTCCGAGGAGGCTTTCGTCACGGTTGTCGAAAGGAGGTGGAGGAGGAGGAGGAGGAGAGGAAGATTCACCGAGACCCATAGACTCGCACATAGACCCACAGACTCATCACACAGAGACCCACAGACTCATCACACAGAGACCCATAGACTCATCACACAGAGACCCATAGACTCACACACACAGAGACCCATAGACTCATCACACAGAGACCCATAGACTCATCACACAGAGACCCATAGACTCACACACACAGAGACCCATAGACTCATCACACAGAGAGACCCACAGACACATCACACAGAGACCCATAGACTCACCACACAGAGAGACCCACAGACACATCACACAGAGACCCACAGACTCACCACACAGAGAGACCCACAGACACATCACACAGAGACCCACAGACTCATCACACAGAGAGACCCACAGACACACCACACAGAGACCTATAGACTCACCACACAGAGAGCCAGAGACTCATCACACAGAGACCCACAGACTCATCACACAGAGACCCACAGACTCACACAGAGACCCACAGACTCATCACACAGTGAGACCCACAGACTCATCACACAGAGACCCAGAGACTCATCACACAGAGACCTATAGACTCACACAGAGACCCAGAGACTCACACAGAGACCCATAGACTCACACAGAGACCCAGAGACTCACACAGAGACCCATAGACTCACACAGAGACCCATAGACTCATCACACAGAGACCCATAGACTCATCACACAGAGAGCCATAGACTCATCACACAGAGACCCATAGACTCATCACACAGAGACCCATAGACTCACCACACAGAGACCCATAGACTCAGCACACAGAGACTCATAGACTCACCACACAGAGACCCATAGACTCACCACACAGAGACCCATAGACTCACCACACAGAGACCCATAGACTCACCACACAGAGACCCATAGACTCACCACACAGAGAGACCCACAGACACATCACACAGAGACCCACAGACTCACCACACAGAGACCCAGAGACTCACCACACAGAAACCCACAGACTCACCACACAGAGACCCATAGACTCACACAGAGACCCACAGACTCACCACACAGAGACCCACAGACTCACCACACAGAGACCCAGAGACTCACCACACAGAAACCCACAGACTCACCACACAGAGACCCATAGACTCACACAGAGACCCATAGACTCACCACACAGAGACCCACAGACTCACCACACAGAAACCCAAATACTCATCACACAGAGACCCACAGACTCACACAGAGACCCACAGACTCACACAGAGACCCACAGACTCACACAGAGACCCATAGACTCACCACACAGAGACCCACAGACTCACACAGAGACCCACAGACTCACACAGAGACCCACAGACTCACACAGAGACCCATAGACTCACCACAGAGAGACACACAGACTCACCACACAGAGACCCACAGACTCACCACCATACAGAGACCCACAGACTCACCACACAGAGACCCATAGACTCACACGGAGACCCATAGACTCACACAGAGATCCATAGACTCACCACATAGAGACCTATAGACTCACACAGAGACCCATAGACACATCACACAGAGACCCACAGACTCACACAGAGACCCATAGACACATCACACAGAGACCCATAGACTCACACAGAGACCCATAGACTCACACAGAGACCCATAGACTCAGACAGAGACCCATAGACTCACCACATAGAGACCCACAGACTCAGACAGAGACCTATAGACTCACACAGAGACCCATAGACTCACCACACAGAGACCCATAGACTCAGACAGAGACCTATAGACTCACACAGAGACCCACAGACTCACCACACAGAGACCCATAGACTCACCACACAGAGACCCATAGACTCACCACACAGAGACCCATAGACTCACACAGAGACCCACAGACTCACCACACAGAGACCAATAGACTCACCACACAGAGACCCACAGACTCATCACACAGAGTCCCACAGACTCACCACACAGAGACCCACAAACTCACCACACAGAGACCCACAGACTCACCACACACAGAGACCCACAGACACGATGGTCCGAGCGAGCGACAGAGCAGTTCTGGGGCAGTGAGCGAGCGAGCGAGGGGAAGGAGGGAGCAATGCCGGGCAGGGTTGCAGGATCATTCCGAGATGGGAGGAGCTGGAGGAGTTATTCTTGGCGGCGGTGGTGGCGGTGGTGGAGTTGGTTGCGGTGGACGCATGCGTTGTGGTTTGGGGCAGGCAAGGTCATGCAGTTGCCCATTCCGGGAAAAGCGTGCAGCTCACCGATTCACCCACCTACCCATCCACTTACTCACCTACCTACCCATCCACTTACTCACTCGCTCACCATCCACTCACTCACCCACCTACCCATCCACTCACTCATCCAGCTACCCATCCACTCACTCACCCACCTACCCATCCACTCACTCACCCACCTACCCACCCACCCACTCACTAACCCACCCACCCACCCAACCCATCCACCTACCCATCTATTCATCCACCCACAAATGTACACACCAACTCACCTACTCACCCATCCACCCACTCACCCATCCATTCACTCACTTACCAACTGTTCCACCCACTCACCCACCTACCCATCCATCAATCCACCCACCCACCCATCCACCCACACATGTACACACTAAGTCACCCACCCACTCACCCAGCTCGCTCAACCCGCCCACACACACACAGCAGCACATCCTGAACACATCCCATGCCACGCTGCACCTCTCAGTCCCCATGCAGAGCCGGGCGGTGGTGGACAGGGGGGGTGGCAGAGGAGCGCGGAAGGGAGGTGGTGGTGGTGGAGGTGCTGGTGGTGGTGGAGGTGGCGGTGGGGGAGGTGGTGGTGGAGGTGGTGGTGGGTGAGGTCATGGTGGTGGAGGTGGTGGTGGTGGTGGTGGTGGAGGTGGTGGAGGTGGCGGTGGTAGAGGTGCTGGTAGTGGTGGTGGAGGTGGTGGTGGTGGAGGTAGTGGAGGTGGTGGTGGAGGTGGTGGAGGTGGTGGAGGTAGTGGAGGTGGCGGTGGTGGAGGTAGTGGAGGTGGCGGTGGTGGAGGTGGCGGTGGTGGTTGTGGTGGTGGAGGGGGAGGGGGTCCATAGCCATGCTCCCTCCCGCCAGGATGCCAGGCCACACAACCGAGACGACCGTTGCCGTGACCGTGGCTCCGACATTCAGTGCATCATCAGCATTGCCAGCCTCGCTTGAACTATCGCTTCGATGCAACCGAAACTCTGGACCTGGCTCCGACGTTCAGTGCATCATCAGCATTGCCAGGCTCGCTTCAACTATCGCTTCGATGCAACCGAAACTCTGGACCTGGCTCCGACATTCAGTGCATCATCAGCATTGCCAGCCTCGCTTCAACTATCGCTTCGATGCAACCGAAACTCTGGACCTGGCTCCGACGTTCAGTGCATCATCAGCATTGCCAGCCCCGCTTCAACCATCGCTTCGATGCAACCGAAACTCTGGACCTGGCTCCGACGTTCAGTGCATCATCAGCATTGCCAGCCTCGCTTCAACCATCGCTTCGATGCAACCGAAACTCTGGACCTGGCTCCGACGTTCAGTGCATCATCAGCATTGCCAGCCTCGCTTCAACTATCGCTTCGATGCAACCGAAACTCTGGACCTGGCTCCGACATTCAGTGCATCATCAGCATTGCCAGGCTCGCTTCAACTATCGCTTCGATGCAACCGAAACTCTGGACCTGGCTCCGACGTTCAGTGCATCATCAGCATTGCCAGCCTCGCTTCAACCATCGTTTCGATGCAACCGAAACTCTGGACCTGGCTCCGACGTTCAGTGCATCATCAGCATTGCCAGCCCCGCTTCAACCATCGCTTCGATGCAACCGAAACTCTGGACCTGGCTCCGACGTTCAGTGCATCATCAGCATTGCCAGCCTCGCTTCAACCATCGCTTCGATGCAACCGAAACTCTGGACCTGGCTCCGACGTTCAGTGCATCATCAGCATTGCCAGCCTCGCTTCAACTATCGCTTCGATGCAACCGAAACTCTGGACCTGGCTCCGACATTCAGTGCATCATCAGCATTGCCAGGCTCGCTTCAACTATCGCTTCGATGCAACCGAAACTCTGGACCTGGCTCCGACATTCAGTGCATCATCAGCACGGTCAGTGAGTTTTGTCTAACGAACCCAAAGCCGGGTGTTTGTGGACACGGGCCCAAAGAAACTCCACGATGCACAACATTCACAAGCTCACACTTGCTCAGAGGTCGCAACCGGGTACCCGATACCCGTACCCTACCCGATACTCGGCTACCCGTACCCGGTCGGGTACGGGTAGCCGGGTAGGCCGTGAGTCACTGGTGAGTAACCGTTTGTCACTCATTTCGGGTAGGCTACGGGTAGGGAACGGGTATCCGTACCCGGCCGGGTAAGGGTACGGGTACCCGTTTGCGACCCTGGTGCGGCCGGGTACGGGTAAGGAATCAAAACCCGTTTGCGACCTCTGCACTTGCTACGTTGGCACACTTGTTATTCGAGGGTTAAACTCATTTTGTTAGAACGGCTTGTTGTTGTTGTTGTCGTGTTCAGTTTGTTTTACTTTCCCCCGCACTAAGTATGGTTGGGCTACGTACGGTGCGAAAGAAGCTCAACGTACACAGACATACACACAAAGACAAAGATCCCCCGTATAGCCTTAACAAACTGAAGGGGCAAGTGCTGTTAGCGAGCACGTACACACATGCGTACACACATGCGTACACACATGCGTACACACGTACACACACACGTACACACACACGTACACATACACACACGTACAAACACACACATACACATACACACACGCGTACACACACACACGCGTACACACACACGTACACACATACACGCATACACACACGCGCATACACACGCATACACACACACACGTACACACACGCGTACACACACGCGTACACACACACGTACACACACACACACGCGTACACACGTACACACACACACACACGTCCACACACATATACACACACACGTACACACACACGTACACACACACACGTACATACACACGCACAAAAACAAACCTCACTAACAACACGCGGGCGCGTCGCTCTTACCCGTGGTGACGGACACGCGCAACGCCGGCCCGACCGTCCCGTCTTCGCCGTTGTTATCCTCATCAGCAGCCCCGTAGCCGTCGTCGTCGCCGTCACCACCACCGCCAACGACGCCTTGTACCAGCAGCTGGTACTCGCTCGCCTCGCGCAGCCCGGCGACCACCAGCACGGCCGCCTCGACCGGCACCGTCACCTCCCCTCCGCCTCCGGCTGCCCCGCCCACTCTCTCGCCAGCGCTGGCTCCGCCCACTCTGCCGCCAGCGCTGGCTCCGCCTACTCTGCCGCTAGCGCTGGCTCCGCCTACTCTGCCGCTAGCGCTGGCTTCGCCTACTCTGCCGCTAGCGCTGGCTCCGCCCACTCTGCCGCTAGCGCTGGCTCCGCCCACTCTCTCGCTAGCGCTGGCTCCGCCCACTCTCTCGCTAGCGCTGGCTCCGCCTACTCTGCCGCTAGCGCTGGCTCCACCCACTCTCTCGCTAGCGCTGGCTCCACCCACTCTCCCGCCGGCGCCTCCGGCCACGCCCACCGGCCTGCCGGCACCGCCGCGAGCCCCCGACCCTGACGGCGCCGCCCCCGACGGCCACCAGCGGACGAGCAGCCGGCGCGCGCCGGTGCCGAGGACGCCCGCCGGCAACCAGGAGAGCGTGAAACTCGTGTCGTTGACCCCCACCACGGAGACGGGGACCGCTCCCGCCCCGTCGCCGTGGTTACTGGGGTCGTGGTAGCCGCGGTCGTCGGGGCGACCGGCGACGTCGACGTCCTCCAGCGCGTTGTCCAGGAGGTCATCCTCCGGCTCCGGGGATGACGGGGATGACGGGGGAAGGACAACGCCACCGATCGGTTCGTCGCTGCTCGGGGGTCGAATTCGGCGTGCGGGGACAGCACCACCACCGCCTCCACCACCACCACCACCACCGCCTCCACCACCACCACCACCAGCTCCTCCGTCGCCTCGGCCACCTTCTCCCGCCTTGTCGACGCAGGTGACGGTGCGGATGGAGAGACGGGAGAGCAGCACCGACTCCCAGGCGCTGTCGTCAAAGTCCACGGCGTCTCCCGCGACGTCTCCACCTCCTCCATCGACGGGAGGATCGGTACCCACGGAGACCGTGGGAGCCGTGGTGGAGGTGGGCACCAGGGCCGGAACTTTCTCTGCCGTTGGCTCGGGCGCCTGGGGGGAGAGTTAAAAGTTCAAAGGTCAAAGTTCATGTATTAGGTGTAGCCCTGTGAGCCATTCAGCTCTTGAATCGGGTGCAACCGCAACAAACAAAAAACAAAAAGATGAACAATAAAACATCTTATAGTGACTATGTGACTAAGTGCAAACAGAAAATCCAAGAAAAGACAGCAAAATATTGCAGAAAAATCACCGTACACCAACCCTGTGTGCAAATATCCCAGTTGGATAGAGAGACACTGTAGATGGCGATAGACAGAAATAGATAAAAAGACAGAGAGAGAGAGAGGCAGTGTTAGGGATCGAGGCGCTGTGTGGGTGCAAGTGCTGGGGACAGCGAGCGAGGTTGCTGACCTTGGGGCAGTCGTGTCCGTCGGTGCCCTGGGGGCAGGGCTGGGCCTGCACGGCGGGGATGAGGCAGCCGGGGCCTGTGTAGGCATCGCCGCAGTGGCACACGCCGGAGACGCAGCGGCCTCGACCCCCACAGCCGCCCACGCAGCCCGCGTCGGACAATCCGCCCGGAATCAGAACCTTGCGTGGCACGCGCAGCATCAGCAAGGATACTGCGTCAGTCACCACCGACGCAACCACCACCACTACAACCACCACCACTGCAACCACCGCCATACTGTGTTTAGCCACCACCACAACCACCACCACTCACTCACTAACCAACTCACCCACCCACTTCCTCACCAACTCACCCACCCACTCACCCACCCACCCACTCACACACCCACCCACCCACTCACCCACCCACTCACACACCCACCAACTCACCCACCCACTCACCCACCCATCCACCCACTCACCCACTCACCCACCCACCCACTCACACACCCACTCACCCACCCACCCACTCACCCAAACACCCACTCACCCACCTACTCACCCACCCACCCACTCACCCATCCACCCACCCACTCACCCACTCACCCACCCACTCACCCACCCACTCACCCACCCACCCACTCACTCACTCACCCACATGTGGTGTGGAGGCACAGCTACGAGGAGGTATGAACGGGACGCCTCACAGCACCGTGGGATGATTGATGGATGTGTAGTGACATAGAATCGGTCACATAGCAGCACAGCACCGGCTGCTGGCAGGGAAGGAGATCTGCAGCTTACAGCAGCGCTGACCTACAGCAGGCCACGTGATAGACCAGAGAGATGGATCTAGGGGAAAGGTCACGGACGGTGGCACACTGAGAACCCATTGGTAGGTTCCAGAAGCGGGGCGTGGCCGGGGGGCGGAGCCAGGCCATGCCGAGAATAAAAGAGAGGCCCCGGGAGGGGAGCTCGGGGCTGTCGCGTGGAGCGGGTTCCCCATCGTTGCCGCTGAAGTCTTCGCCATCTCGGCGTTGCCGGTCAGGCGGTCTACCGGCTGTCCCGGCTGGGAACCGTAGCGACGACTGAGTCTCTGAGTCAGTCACTACAGACGCACAGACATATCCGGGTCAGACCAAGTGCCTTGGTACCTGCGGGGGGCGTTTCAGGGTGCAGTCTGGACCGGTCCATTCAGGCTCACAGGTGCAGGCGCGGGTGTTGGGGTCCAGCGCACCCCTGCCGCTGCATGGGTCTCTCTGCACGGTCTCTCCTGGGAGGGTAGAGAGTGGGGGGGGGGGGGGGGGGTAAGGGGGATGGGCGGTTGGGGAGATACGTCATTTCCGTGTGTCTTTGCGTGTGTGTGTGTGCGTGTGTACGTGTGCGTGTGTGTACGTGTGTGTGTGTACGTGTGTTACCACGTGTCTTTGCATGTGTGTGCCAGTGTGTGTGTGCGTGTGTGTACGTGTGTGTGTGTACGTGTGTTACCTCGTGTCTTTGCATGTGTGTGCCAGTGTGTGTGTACGTGTGTGTGTGTGTGTCTACGTGTGTTACCACGTGTCTTCGCATGTGTGTGCCAGTGTGTGTGTACGTGTGCGTGTGGCGTGTGTGTACGTGTGCCCCTCCCCTCCGTGCCCCTCTGTGTATCCCCCCCAACTCCCCCATCAGCCTCCTCCCCTCCGTGCCCCCCCTCTCCCCCGTGCCCCCCCCCCGTGCCCCCCAGTGCCCCCCCAGTGCCCCCAGTGCCCCCCTCAGTGCCCCCGTGCCCCCCCAGTGCCCCCCGTGCCCCCACCTGTGAGCTCCATGCGCTCGCTCCCGCAGGCCCCGTGCCCCCCCCAGTGTCCCCCGTGCCCCCACCTGTGAGCTCCATGCGCTCGCTCCCACAGGCCCCGTGCCCCCCAGTGCCCCCCGTGCCCCCCCCCGTGCCCCCACCTGTGAGCTCCATGCGCTCGCTCCCGCAGGCCCCGTGCCCCCCAGTGCCCCCCGTGCCCCCCCCCCCGTGCCCCCACCTGTGAGCTCCATGCGCTCGCTCCCGCAGGCCCCGTGCCCCCCGCCGTTGCAGCAGGCCGAGGGCACGGAGCAGAGGGCTCGGAGCGAGGCGACCTCGCCCTCCAGCAGCTCCAAGCGCGCCAGCAGGCCCGCCGCCTGCAACCACCCAGCAACAGTAGCAGCAGCAGTAGCAGCAGCAGTAACAACATCATCAGTAGCAGCAGTAGCAACATCATCAGTATTAGAAATATCATCAGTAGCAGCAGTAGCAGCAGTAGCAGCAGCAGCAGTAGCAGCAGTAGCAGCAGCAGCAGTAGCAGCAACAGTAGCAGCAACATCATCAGTAGTAGTAGCAGCAGTAGCAACATCATCAGTAGCAGCAACATCATCAGTAGCAACATCATCAGTATTAGCAACATCATCAGTAGCAGCAGTAGCAGTAGTAGCAGCAGTACCAACATCATCAGTAGCAGCAGTAGCAACATCATCAACAGCAGTACCAACAGTAGCAGCATCATCAACAGTAGTAGCAACAGGCAATATCATCAGGCAGTAGTATCATCAGCATCATCATCAGCATCATCATCAGCATCATCGTCAGCATCATCGTCAGCATCATCATCATCAGCATCATCATCAGCAGCATCATCATCATCAGCATCATCATCAGCATCATCGTCATCATCAGCATCATCATCATCATCAACTCCCACCGTGTGGGTCCCGTCAACGCCCTCAACCGAAGCCGACAGCTTCCACCGCCTGCGACGTCACAACACGGCGCCTGTGACGTCACAACATGGCGCCTGTGACGTCACAACATGGCGCCTGTGATGTCACAACATGGCGCCTGTGACGTCACAACATGGCGTGCATCGACATCCCACGTGGCGCTTGCGACGGTCACCACGTGGCGCGCAGTGACGTCACCACGACTCTGACCACCACCACCAACTCACCCACCTGCTCGTACTGCCTCTGCTGCTGCTGCTGGTGGTTGCCGCAGGGAACCGGTGGAACGACCACGCGATGGGTGAACACCGCGCCTGCGCCTCCCTCCACCGTCCTCGCCGCTCCACCATCACCACCATCGCCACCACCGCCGCCACCACCATCTCCGGCAGCGGAGGCGCACTCGGAACCTCCGACGTTGATGTTGTAGACGTGGTGGAACACCATCCGCTTGCCGCCATCGTCGGCATCGTCCGCTTCAAGCTGCTGATGATGCTGCTGCTGCTGGTGCTGCTTGCCGGGCATCCCGCGAGCATCTTTCGCGACGAGCGCCAGCGCACACGCCGGCAGCGAGAGCAGCGCCAGCGTCACCAGCAGCGACCGCGGGGTCGGTGCCACGCGCCGGCGAAGAGATGGAGCCATGGGGTCGGAGTGGCGGGTCCACTCGGCGGATTGTGGCGCTCTGCTCTGTTGGCTCACTCTTAACTTTACCAACTAACTATATTAACTAGATCTTCACTTTAGTGGCTTTACCAACTAACTATGTTAATTAGTTCTTAACTTTACCAACTAACTATATTCACTAGTTCTTAACTTTAGTGACTTTACCAACTAACTATATTAACTATCTCTTAACTTTAGTGACTAGCTCTTAACTGTCAACGATCTTTCCACTAATAATTGTCTCACAGAGAGTAAATCTCACCCTCACCGCACCACCAATCACTCTCACCTCACCAATATTATCTCTCAACTCACTCTCACCTCTCTCCTCACTAATTCCTCACCCCTCACCTCACCCACACAGCGTTAGTGGCTGTCTGTCCCACGCTCTCTGTCTCTTTGTCTGTCTGTGTCTGTCTGTCTGTCTCTCTCTCTCTGTCTGTCTGTCTCTCTGTCTGTCTGTATGTTTCTCTGTCTCTCTGTCTGTCTGTCTGTCTCTGTCTCTCTGTCTGTCTGTTTGTCTCTCTCTGTCTCTCTGTCTGTCTGTATGTTTCTCTGTCTCTCTGTCTCTCTCTGTCTATCTGTCTGTCTGTCTCTCTGTCTCTCTGTCTGTCTGTATGTTTATCTGTCTCTCTGTCTCTCTCTCTGTCTCTCTGTCTGTATGTTTCTCTATATCTCTGTCTCTCTCTCTGTCTCTCTGTCTCTCTCTGTCCGTAGCCCCGCAAAATCTCCTCACCCCACGCACATCCTCACCACCACCTCACCACGACCTCCTCATCGTCCCCTGCATCCTCACACGCTCGCTCACGATAAAAGTATCCCGTCTGTCTGACTGTCTTTCTCGGTCTGTCTCTCTCTGTCTGAAGATCTCTCGCTGTGTGTGTGTGTCTCTGTGTCTGTGTGTCTCTGTGTGTGTGTGTCTCTGTGTGTGTGTCTCTGTGTGTGTGTGTATCTCTCTGTGCCTGTGTGTGTGTCTCTCTTTATGTGTCTGTGTGTGTCTCTCTCTGTCTGAAGATCTCTCGCTGTGTGTGAGTCTCTGTGTCTGTGTCTTGTGTGTCTCTGTGTCT